AAATAAAGTGTTTTGTCTCCCTTCCATTTTCTAATATTTTGGTAACAAAATCAAGTAATTGTCTATCAACTGCACAAATCAAATATACCTTTAGTTGTTAATGTTAAATTTCGTCTTAAATGAAATTTAATTGCATATCTTTCAAAAGTTTGGGAACCATATTATAATAAGATTGTTAAAATTAGGGACTAAATTGATTAAATATGAAGTTTGAGGTTTAAAGAGCTCAAAAAATGAAAGTTAAGGGACAATATTGTCATTTCACCATTAAAATTTGGAATTCTCACGGGTCGATGAACGGCGTTACGATGTCCTATCAATGGAGGGATGCTGCTTGGTCTCTTCTTTAAAGTTTAGAGATATATTTATGAGCTATTTTAAAGTAAAAGGATGATAATAACTTTTATTGTAAAGTTGGTGGATTTTTAATGGCATTAAGTTAAAAATAAATAGATAATTTTTTCATGTTTAAAGTGTTAGATAGTGATATAAAGACAATTTTATGTATAATATTTAGATGTAATTTTTATATTCTATTAAATAAATATATATACTTAATATTATGATTCTTAAATAAATAAAAAAAATTAATTATTTAAATAGCATATATAATCATACGAAACTATGATAAAAAATTAACTTTAAATCATTTTCATAAAGTGTTTATTTGTTGTAGGTCCATTAATTATTACATCAGCAACTCCCGTTAGCATTTAACGTTCCATTCTCAAGGAAGGCCTCTAGGTAAACAATTTAGGAAAGGTTGAGGATGGGGAGTAAGGCTAGCTTTAAATAAAGGTTAAGGATGAAGGTGTTCCATATTATAAAGATTAGGGATGGAAAAGGACATTTACCCAATAGTTGATTTCAGGTTAGATGTCAGATCCTCAGCATTAGAATTTTGTGCGCTCTTTGTCCTTCAATACTTTATGTCCCTCGACTTTAAAAACTACACCATTTCAGTCCCTCTATCAGTTAAGTCTATTATCTCAATTCACCTGGTATTTTTTTATTTATTTTAATGACATAAATAATTCAACTAATAAAAAAATACTTAACTGCTTTAAAACTCATGCCATCTCCATCAATGACGGGTTAAAAATGAGACCCACTCAATGACATTCAAAATTAAGGTTTATTTCTCTTAATTAAAATATAAAAGTAGGTCCTACTCGTACGTACCTTGTTTGATTAAAATTAATAAAAATTCTCGGACCCCACCTGTAATTTAACTTTTATCGTCAAGTGAAATTATAATCTTGCCCCCTTCATTTCTTCATTCCCAAAGTCGAATCCAACCAGCGACCAAATTCAAAACCATAATCAATTGTCATTTAAGCCTACAGTTTAATTGTCAATCACAATTGAGTGGAAAGAAACAAAAATCTAAATTAATTCTTAAAGTTCATAGATTTAACAACCTTCAACAAATCCAAATGTGCACCCAAAAAATTTGGGTTTGTGAAATGTGAATCCCTGAAATGAATCTAAAGATTAACCGGTAGCTTCAGAGGAAATGAAGGAGGAAGGGAGAGATGGAGGGGAGAAGAGTTTGAACAAAATTCAGATAGGTTAAATGGGAACTCAAATTCGAGTTCATTCGAATCCAATTCATCTAGGTTCCACACGTACCTAGATTCGGGTGGGTATATAAATCCAAATCTGCTGGGTTTGATAAAAGGGGATGGAGAGGAGAGGGGAAGAAAGAAGGCGATAGACGATTGGAGAAGGTGGAAGGGAGGGGTCTGAAGAACAAATTCGTAACAACCCAGAATTCTGGATTTAAAAACCCACAAATCTGGGTTTGTACGAACCTAGATCTGGGAAGAATGAGGAGAGGAAGGGAGAAAAGGGAAAGAATGAAACGAAAGAGAGAGAGAGATTCGAGAAGGTAGAAGGGAGAAAGTGCCAGAGAAAAGAGAGGGAGGGGAGGAAGAGCTGAATGATGGAACATGAATGGAGAAAGAGAAGGGGATCGGGGGAAGAAGATGAAGATGATAGGGGTATAAGTGTAATTTTGAAAAATATTTTTAATATTAGATAATTATAATGTGTTCGGAAATTTGACTTGGTCTCTTCCCTTTTTAATCCACGTACACTAATTGTATGACGTGTTATTATCACATCTTAACAAAAATGCTATCTTGAATGGATTTAACAGCCATATACGCTGTTAACTGATTGGTACTAAAATTGTGTAATTTTTAAAATTAAGAGTTTAAAAAATATATATAAATAATTATAAAATTAAAAATATATAAAATTTAAAATTAAAAAATTAAAATTGACATTTAACCCTTTACGTTGTTTCTACGTTATGACTTATGATGCTACTAAGCAATTCAATGTCTAAGGAGTAGTTTCTCGTTGAATGAGGAAAGACTTGAAAAGATACTTAATGATGACTACTCTCACAATCGATACACTGTACGATTGTTATTATCATTTCTTTAGAAAAGGACATTTCTCCTTGAACATCTACATTGATTAGAGATTTTTGGGTACCGTTTTGGGGCAAAGGAATAAGTAAAGCTCATGTGTATTAAAGACTTTCTTAGTAATTGAATTGAATTTTTGTTTTTTGTTAGGAACAATTGTAACCAATAGGATTTGTGTTTGGTCTTGGGAATCGCAATGGATGAGAGAATGAGGGATGTTGCTGAAGCGGGAGACATTGAAGCCCTGTATGCACTAATTCAGGAGAATTCATTTGTTTTAGACAACATTGATACATTTCCTTTCGTTGACACTCCACTACATATAGCAGCCTCTAAAGGGCACATTGATTTTGCTATGGAAATGATGAACTTAAAGCCATCATATGCAAGGAAGCTAGACCCTGCTGGGCGAAGCCCCATGCATCTTGCCCTGTTAAATTGCCAAACTCATGTAGTACATGAGCTCCTCAAAGTTGATAAAGATCTTGTCCGTGTCAAAGGGAGGAGCAGTTGGACTCCTCTGCATTATGCAGTGGAGAAGGGGAACCTGGATCTTATAGCTGAATTTCTTGAGGCTTGCCCCGAATGCATTACAGATGTGACCATTCAAGGCCAGAATGCCATACATATTGCGATAAGCAACAATAACTTTGAAACTCTGGAACTTCTGGTTTGTTGGCTTGAAAAGATCACTCACAAAGATGCTGACATTTGGAATAAACAAGTCCTGAATGGGATAGATCGCGAAGGAAACACAGTTCTACATATAGCTACATCCATTAATCATCCCCAGGTATAGATATCCTCATCCACTCTAATTTCCCTTTTTTTTTTCTTTTTTTTTGGTTAGTCTAGTTTCATTAACTTAGCAAAGCTTAGAGTATCAAAGGAAAAAAACAAAATGATTTGATTAGTGGCAACATTTTATTGATTAAAATCTATTTGTTTTTCTCTATATGCTGAGCAGATGGTAGGATTATTATTAGAATGTAAGATGATCTCCAAGAACGAAGTCAATTTGAACGGCCATTCAGCTTTGGATATGTTATCCGGCCAAGTTAACAACAGCGAAGCTGCAAACATTCTTCGTCAAGCTGGATGTCTAGAAGCTAAAAGAATTCCTGCGCGTCAAACATTAGCAGAGTCATTGAGAACAAGAATGTCTTGGTCACAGAAATTACGAAGAACAATGGTGCGGCAGAATAACATGATATCTAGTGACATGAGGAATGCTATGCTGGTAGTAGCTGTACTGATCCTAACAGCAACCTACCAAACATGTCTTACTCCACCTGGAGGTGTTTGGCAGGGTAACTTAGGTGACCCAGTGCCCAGTCCCTCAAGTGCACCTTCCACTCCCTCAAGAGTATTTGACACTCCCCCACCCCCACCTACGAGTGGCGTGTTCCCATCCAGCCCTTCCCCATCCGACCTTCCTTCCGGCAAGGCTATCACTCCCACACCCCCACCTACGAGTGGCGTATTCCGAAACCCTCCTCCCAGCGAGGCTGTCACTCCCCCACCCCCACTTATCACTCCCTCACCCCCAACTGCGAGTGGCGTATACCGAGACCCTCCTTTCGACTAGCCTGTCACTCCCCCACCCCCACCTATCACTTCCGCACCCCCACCGATGAGTGGCGTATTCCCAAACGACCCTTCCCCATCCCATCTTCCTCCCGGCAGGGCTGTCACTAATGCCCCTAAAAGTAAGGTCGGGCTCTCAATCATGTCCACACCTAATTTTATATACTTCTATTTTATAAACACTGCAACTTTCTTGACTACAACAACCGTAGTGTTTCTCCTACTTCCTGATAACACAATAAACCTGCTTACCTTACCAGTCATGTTGTTCATTCTCTGCTACTTGCTGTCAATGACGTACCTAGCTCCATTTCCAATTCCAAATTCCCCTCGGCTTCAACCATTTGCACCTATTATTATTGCTACTCTGCTCTTCCTTGTTGTGTGTTTGCCTAAGTTTTTCAATCTTAATCTCCAATCTTAAGGGGCTAGTTTAAATGTTTCTGCTTATTAAGATTAATGCATGTTAATTTTCTTTTCGGGTCAGCATTATGGATGTTTTCTTGTATAAGAAACTTGATCATCAAAAGGAAAGTTATCGCACGCTTGTATTTGCATTTTGCTTAATACTATGTATTTTCTTAATATGTTACTTTTCATGTTGAGTACTTTTTATCTCATGAATCATGAACAAACTATGATGTTCCCATTTCAATGATACACTGAGAACTGTCATGCCCTCAATAAAACAAGAGAAATCAAAAAATGATTTCCCACAACATAGGCATGGTCGAAAAAGCGACCGATACCTATGGCACTAGGGGAAATGACCTTGTTCCAGAACTTGCAGTTGCAGACAACTATGGAACTACACCAAATTTTAAGTGACTGCTAACATAAGCAACAAATATAATCCTCCTTAGGTAACCTTCCACTACAAGCTGTGAAAGGCTATACTGTTTGTTAGACACCCACCCACCTAACTTCCAAATTAATATAGTTATAAATAAATGGTTTATGGACATATGAGTGCAGGGGAGACATTCCATGGCACATCATATGTTTTAATACTGTCTTGAAAATAAAAGATTAATATAGTAATTATATAAGTTTTGACATAGTTATGTCAGTTTTTATCATTATTTATTTTTTGATATAAAACTCTTGTTCTTTTGCACTCATAAGGGAATACATATCTGATACTCTTGCTTACATATTTAATACTCTTCCTTTTAACTTATGAGCTGTGAAGGCTTTGGTAAGAATACTTTTTTTTTTTTTGACATAAATTCATTTTTTGACATATATACATTGTCCATGAGTATATATATCATGAGCATAACATCATCTATGAGTATACTTATTATGAATTTATATAATATATACTCTCTTTTTCTTAAGTTTGGCTTAAGATTAAAATTATTATTGATTATGGTAGCAATTGGTTCTAATACCATTTGTTAAGAGATTTTTCACTTAACAAGAAGACATTTGATGACCCATCACATTATTTAAGATTATCTTGTAACTAAAAAATTAATCCAATAATTACATAAAATATTCCTCAAACAAATTTCGATGGTTGAAAATTCGAACGTTCCTTCATGTTTGAGTAGTTTAACTTATGAATCAAGAATCAACTATGACGTTCCAATTTTAGTGATGAATAAATAATTGTTATGCCTTCGTTAAAACGAGAGACAGAGATCAAAAAGAAAAAGGTTTCCCACAACATGGACATGGACGCTAGAAAGAAATGAGATCCGTTAATTAGTTGCCTGATTTAAGTTTGAAATCATTGATGCTAAGATAAAATGATTCTTATTTTTGCTAAAATGGAGTCCATCCTTTTCTTCCTGTGAATTTTATTTATTTATTGAGGTAATATAATATGCGAGACGGGGAAGTGACCGCTAGGCTGAGTTTTAGTTCTGGATTTTCCAATTACGGAAAGGATCTATTAGGCTTTTGTTTTTCAACTTTTTATTAGGGGTACGCATTGGTATGAGTATATTCAATAGTTGTAAGTATTTTATATGTTTCAATAAGTATAATATTTGAATGGTAAAAAAAATGGTAAATAATAAATATGGAAATAATATATTTGTAAATATTAAGTTAAGTAATAAATATAAAAATTTAGAATTATTTATTTGATTTATTTAATTAACTTGTTTAATTCACCTGTTATTTGTATTTGTTTAACAAAAATTTTACATGTACTTATTATATTTAATATTTATAATAATAGTAATTTTTAAAAATAAAAATAATAAAGTATAAAAATTAAAATTAAAATTAAATAAAGTTTATAAGTTAGATAAATTACACATGTAACAATAATAATTCATATGAATAATAAATCTTAAATCAAATACATAATAAATCTAAAAATAGTATCTCATATTAGATTTGTTTCTTTTTTTGAATTAAGTACATAAATATATATTCATAAATAACTTGATACTTATTAAATTAAGTATTAAATATATATTTTTTAATATTTAAATAAGCACTTAATCTAAAAAAATATACTTCAAAATTTTTAAATAAAATACCATGCCCGACTTATAGCCGTATCTACACTACTTCTTATTTTACACATCTGGATCTTAGACCAAAGCCCATGCACCTATAAAATATAAATGCTACATCTAGAGGCCATACCTGTTCTTTTTTCTTTTTTTTTTGGGCTTACCTTACCAGTTAATTCTATTAAAATTCAAAATTTTAGTAGTTTCACTTTCACTGTTGAATCGATTACTGTTATATTTTTAAATTTAAACACAATTTAGTATAATTGTAATTTTAAATTTGTTATTTTGATTTTTAAAAATTTAGAAATTTTATAATAAAATTAAAAAATTTTCTAAATTAATTAAATTTAAAATTTTGAGTACTTATTTTAAAATTTTAATTTTATACTTAATAAGTAAGTATTTTTAATTTTTAATTTTGATTGTTGAAATTTTAAAAATTAAAAATAAAAACTTAAAATTATAATAATACTAAATTGTTAATAGTATAACTAAAGTACTAAACTATGACTCAATTAACCATTACAATCAAATGAATTTTCTTTTATTATTAATTTTTTACTAAATCTTCTTGTATTTGAAAATCACATTAAATCTTAATTAATTTAAAATTGAGTTGCATTAAACCTTATAAAAAAGTACTCTACTAGTGTTTATCTTTTTATTCATAAAACTCAAACTAAAATAAAAAATAAAAAGAGAGTTCAAATGAATTTTCTTTTATTTTTGCTGGTTTTAAGTAGCACAATTCCCTTCTCTTTTACTTAATATTCTAATATATTGTATAGCTTAAATTAATTTCAAGATCTCTTCCAATAAAAAGAGATCACCACTCTACTAACAAAAAATCAAGTGTAATGGCTCATTTATCCCTGTTTTCCTTTGTACAAATCAAAGTTTAGCTAATTGTGAAACAGTACTGGCAATTGCCTTATCTCAATAAAAAAAAAAAATGGTGAAATATTACTAGATTTTTAATAGCCTACTAGGAATTTTTGGTTCATGCAAATGCAATCTTTAGAACCCCTGGAGAGAAACGAAATGAGTATTTGCTTTAAACATTTGACAACCTCAAAATAGTTAATGAAAAGAACCATACGAATAATTATCTTGAAGCAGGCTACATTGTCCACATTCAACAAGTAGACAAAGCATCAGATATACTTCTCTTCTCTAATTAGCACCAAAAGGACATAAAATGAGCAAAACCAAGCAATAACATAGACAGATGACACAGGCATCACCGACACCTCAGTAATTTATTCTTTCATCCTGGTTTCCAAGGACCACATCAATAAGCAGTCTTGGACTACAACGATGCCTTGAGCAATTTGAAAGCCTGAAACAGAACCAAGCAATAAGGACCAAGAGTTAGAAAATAATGACTCAAGGAAGTTCTAAAATAAGAATTTTGACCATTGTGAGAGCCGTTTTTGCAGAACTAAAATGAAATGAACTAGGAACACAAGGAGTGAAACGGAGCAAGAGGATTGACGCCATACCTCGTTTGTGCCTAAACAAACCCCCCTAGTTTTAACAGTAACGATATTCTTTATTTCAAATCGGTTAAGCATGGTAATACCAAAAACAGCTGAATTAGGCCTCACAGACAGGTCATCCATGACCATGTATATCAGCTCGCCTCTCACATAACCACCATCATTCGAGAGAGATTTCTTGGATGGCTCAACTAATATAGGGGGTGAGGCAATTCGCATGGCCTGAAACATCAAACGGCAACTGTAGGACTTGAAAAATGCATAAGAAAATCTAGTCTGAATATCTAACAATTCTTGAGGATCAGCTGTGTTAATGGTCACAACTTTTGGCTTCATCAAGTCATCCTTGTTTCATGATGGATGCATGATCTTGTCATCATAATCTTCAATGCTCTTGCAGATGTTTGCAAGGCAGCCCTCCACACTCTGGTTAGCAAGAAGCCTCATCACAATGCCAACAGGCAAGTGTGATAAGTTAAATAGAAAATCAATTAAGTCTTTTCCTGCTTCAGCAAATACAACTCTCTGGGCTTTTTGTGTCTACCAGAAGCTTCAAGCTAATTTGTTTGTTAGTGGCCTCTGTTGTCAAGGAGGATGCAATGGAAACTGAGGCGATCTTTCTGTAATAGTACAACCCTGCAAGGCCTTAAAGATATCAGGATGGCTTTTATAGGAGTGGATGGGCAAAGATAGGTGGCACAAAAGAATAACAGCTAAGTAACCAGTAACAGCTTCACATTATGATGAGATACAAAGCAATGTGATTGATGCTTCATCTTTATTTTAATTCGCAGGAGATAATACATGCTAGACAACTAACACTATCATAAGCTTCGACAAATTAAGGACAGCTGCAGCTTTGACACTTCAATTGGAGTAAGCTGCAGCTAACGTTGCTGACAATGCAAATCTGGTTATGCAGCAGTGGACACGTCAGATTGTCCTCCGACCATCCTCTCAGCTTTCTCTCCACGCTCGCCTGAGAATTGCAAAGTACAAGGTCATTAAATATTTGAAGAGATGCTTCAACAAGCAATTTAAGAAAGCATTACTTGAATTTGAATAGAATATAATTAAGTTACCTGTGCGAACTCTAATGACATCAGAGACAGGCACCACTGTATGACCAAAAAAACTTTGTTAGAAGCTTCAAGGTGTATCAACAGAGAAAGGGTTCCAATAGTCAAATATGAGACAATGTACCCCTACTGACTCTAAATTAACAATCCCACCCTTTCGGATGTGGTTAGGATGCACAGAGGCAAAAGAGACAATTTCATAAAGATGTAGTCACCATGATCAAGCTATAATAGGAATTAAAAAGAAGGCAAAATCGGGACACAGCAGCAGTTCTAACAATCTGATGTTGCAGAACATAAAACATTTCCTAGCTCATTTACACCAAATGTCTGCAAATCGGCCTTGTCTATGTATGATTTTTTCAGAAGTCAAAACATAAAGAAACTTACAAAACAACTTCATTTACCTGAAAGTTTTACTATCGTGGTTCCATAATTTTATAGTTTACAGCTTTATTTAGCCATAATGGAAGAATTCCCTCAACCATATAGCTTGAGAAGAACAAATTTGGATGCTTATAGAATATCTTGCCATCACCAATCTCTCCGGTCCTTGCCTCCTCAATTATCTTATCAACCACAGCCTCCACCTGTGACACAGTGACAGGATAATTAAGTTCAATAACTTAACAAGAGATTTTAAGCAATAAATTTCCCATGATTTTCCTTCTATTGCAATATATCAAATGTTTCATATTTAATTATAGAGGTGATTCTTCATATTATATCTACACCTGCTCCTTTCTCACCACAATCTCCATTTTAACTTTAGCAAGAAACTTGTCCCCAGAAAATTCAGAGCCTACAGAGTAAAAAATAAACCAGAAGAAAACTTAGGCAAGACAGTTAAAAACACTAAATTCATGACTGTCCTAGAGAGCACAGAAAAATAACTAGTGGAGATAGACTAAAACACCAGTGAATTTCTCAGCATCTTCACAGAGAGAATAGGAAAACGAAACAAAAATGGAAGCAAAATAAGGACGAGAGTGGCTAAATTTTCAACCCCATCTACAGGAGAAATGCTTACCACCATGTCTCTCTGCTGAACCCCCTTGAGCCCCAAAGCCTCGTACATCAGAAACCGTAACACCACGAATGCCCATTTTCAGCAAAGCCTTAATTTTCAGAACATAAATGAATAACCAAATGGAATACCACCAGATAACTAAAGAAATAGTTCAAAGCAGGTTAATAATAAAAATATATCTGGACAAAAAAGGAAGTTAAATGCTAACCAAAGCATTCATTCCATTGGAAAGAATATGCCTACCTTGATACAGGAATAGGATCCATATCCATAGTATGATACTTGGAAGAAGCTCGAAATAATTAGAAGTAACTGTATGAGCCTCTGTTTTTCTCCCACAATTTGTTCGAAAGTGGAGGGATAAAATCATAAAAAGGAGTCTTGAAGATGCTTTAAATTAAGAGGAATGCTAGCTGCACTCACCTTTCTCCAGCACTCTCCAACACTCCTTCATCTAAAATAGCCACGTGAACTTTTCTAGTTGGAAACTTTGAATTGCGAGCCAAAGTTTATTGCGTGGACATTTTACATGAGAGAGTGTTGGAGAGTGCTGGAGAAAGGCGAGTGCAGCTAGCATTCCTCTTAAATTAATAGTCTTATCATTATTGTTCTCAATTTCTCAGAGATAAAAGTACTACAACCATAACTTGAACGTGAACCAAACTATAGTCAATGCATATTTGAGACCATTCAGCTTATCTGGTGAAAACATGGTGACACCACAAAATTAATCTATTCCTCACTAAAATGAAGATCCTCAACAAGTCATAAGAGGATCAATAATGCATTTCTGCCATGCTTTATGAATAATATACTCAAATTACAATTGAATCACTTTCCTCTCCACTAATCACTTTGGCCACAAAGTTACAGAGTTAAAGCCTGTGTATTGTGAACCCTGATCTTGCAATTCAAGATACAATGATGCAGGGAAGGTAAGGGTAGAGCAAATAACAAACAATAGCTTCTATCATGTAACTTTTTGATGCCTGCCGAAAACCTCATCTACACAAATAAATCTTATCTTTTCAATGCAATGGCTCAAATATTCCTCATATGCGAACTTTGAGACAGAAATGCTGGGAATGTTTACTAGAATCAAGACCAAAAGCGATAGTGTGGAGTAACATTTGATACAACACAGCAGGATCTTATTAACTATCCATGGAAAGAAAGTCAGAAACATGAAGTGCATTTTATAACTACATACATACATCTAAAGATCCATCAGCTCTTACTGTCTTACCGAAGAAACTTGCTGGATTCGCCAGGGCCTATTTTTCCATCCGAAATTCAGCACATGAACAAAAATGGAAAAACAATTAGAAATGGAAATGATCCATGGCATGCATGGGAAATAGAAAGACAGGGCACTATATGTACCTGAGAATCGCTTCCGCTTTGTAAAATTTTGCGTCCGGGACATAATTTACTAGAAACGAAAGAAACCCATTAAAAATCAAGACACTAATTGCACATTCCACGCAAAAAAGGAAACCCAATAAATTCAAATCCATAAAACATTGTCCTAAGAAACGTACCAGGAGAGCTCTGGGATGCTATTACAGGAACAAACGATGCCTTTCTTGAGCTTTTCAGCGTCCCTTTAAGATTAGAGAAACGAGAATCTCTAAACCAGGAAGGATTGTACTAGAATCTACAAAAGGAGACTGCTTGAGATGGGAATAAGAACGAAGGGGACGAAGTGCTCCTGGGTTTGTCATTTTAGCCATGGTTGTTTATTGCGTTTTGTGGAAGAAGAACAGAAGTGGCAGATGGCATTACCACTGGAACTGAACCTCGGAGTTGACGGCGAATTACGGAGGAAATTTGGCCCCGAAATCGACACTTGGAGGGTGACAGGAAAATAAGCAAATTGGAGATGTACCCTTATTTATAGTATGAGGTAATTATATTTCTACCCAGATGGGAAATTTATGTCATGTTCTGGTCAAATGATGAATCAGTTTGTCGGTAGGGTAGGGTCGGCTCTATAAGATTGTCGGAATGGCAGCGAAAGAGGGAAGGAGTGAAGGGGAAGAGTTCGTTTACAGGATTAGCACGGCCAAGGAGTGGGAAGAGTTGCAGAAAAATGGGCCTATCTTTGGCGGCGAGCTTGGTAAGTCCACTGGTTGCTTCCACCTGAGCAATCTCGATCAGGTCCCTCTCTTGGATTTATTGCTTTCTAGTGTTTCATTGATATATCTGCCCATTGCTCGGATTGATTGCTCCTGTAGCTTCTGAGACTAATTTTTTGGGGTAATGATTCTGTAGGTATGGCCAACGTTGCAGAAATTTTTCATGAATGTGAAGGAGGATTTGTATCTTCTCCAAATTGATGCTAAGAAGGTAAAGCACTTCACTTTGTGTCATTGAATCCTTATGAATTATCTTGTTCTTTATTTGAAGTTCTCCGGTGAGCATGAAAGGAAGTATAAATGATGGGTTCTTGACATTTACGTATGAAATATTCATTTTTTGTGTTGGTTGTTATCAGCAGATAGAAATGGGGAATATGCATTTCTGGTTATAGTTAACAAAGCATATTCATCTAGTTGTCCCCATTATTAGTGATGCATTTAACTTGATGATGAATGTGTGATTGGGCCTATTCCTCTTCTTATCTGCTGATTGTGCTAGTTGAACCACATCAATGGTGGTGCTAAAATGTTGATACTGAAAAAACTAATACTCAAAGCAGTTAACTTGTATTAGCATTACTTGGGTTTAAGAGAGCATTTAGGCCATAAGGAGCATAAGAGGGAAAAAGGAAAAATATTGAAGGAGCCCTTTTTAGGTGCTAAAATCTTGTAAGTTGTTTGTTTTAAGTTTATGAAACATAAAAGCAAGTTTAAAACCTAAACTTCTGCTACAACTGATTCTTAAGAAACCTGATGGGTAACAGTTCATTAGTTGCAACACATCATTGTTATTACCTTGACCCTTGGAGTGGGAACTATGTTGGAGGAGGAAGAAGAGGAAGGGCTAAGCAGAAGATGAACGTTAAGAGGCTTTGTTAGGGGATTGAATCCATGGGTGACTCTGTTATTGACTCAAATTAATTGAGAATCATCCAAAGCATCATTGACTAAAATTGTCCTCCTTCGTTGGATTCAGTGATTAATAACATGAGATTTTATTAATATTTTACTCGCTCAAGTCGTTCATCATTTTACGGCCTATATCTTTGCAGCTTATGGATGGATTGATATATGAATTGGTAGATGGTAATGACAGATTCCCTCATTTCTACGGTCCATCTTGAAGCTTCTGCCCTCTTCCTTTAGATGTTGTTACAAAAGCAGAGAAGCTCTCTCTATCCGGACGCCAGTACAGTTGTAGTCTGCTAAATTAGAATCGTCTCAACTACAAGATCTCCATTGTTTGTGGTGAAAGAAATAATGTTGAGTTGGCTATGTATGATGTCTGTACTAAGGATGACTGCAGCTATCTTTGGTCCGTACTATGGCTTGTATGAATCTTAAAAAATGTATTGTAGCACCTGTCCTTACAAATTACATGTGGTTGTATTCATCATGTTACTTGAAATAAAAGTTTCATAACACAGACATTGCTACTTTGAAAGCACGGCTAGGGAAGAACGGGAGTAAAGGTGCAAATAAGGTTCTTAACTTTGCATTTTTTTTATTTAGGGATGTTAACTTTATCATTTTCTAAATAAGGATGTCAACTTTCAATTTTTTTCTATTTAAGAATGTCAACTTTCAATTTTTTTCTATTTAAGGATGTTAATTTTCAACTTTCAACTTTTTCTATTTAAAAATATCAACTTTCAACTTTTTCTATTTAAGAATTAATTGTGGTGATGCTGATGTCAGCTAACATATTTTTTCAGGTTAAATATCTGAATTGGTCTCTCAACTTTTATTTTTGAACCAATTCATCCTTAAACTTCAGAAAGTACCAAAAATGTCCTTCAACTTCAATTTTCAATTTCGTCTTTCCGTCAGTTAAATGTTGATGTAGCTAATTTTTTCACTAAGTGATTGACTATTTTACATTTTCAATATTAGGTGGAAAATTCATCATGTAAAAAATGATTATGTGGATTTTTTTAATTTTAAATAATTCAAAAACTACTTTAATTCTTAATTTTCAATTAATAAAATTATTTCATAATTCATGGAAGAATTAATTAACTTTTATTTAATTTTATTAAATGGTAGACTTTCAACTTTTTCTATTTAAAGATGTCAACTTTCAACTTTTTCTATTTAATAATTAATTGTGGTGATGCTGACGTCAGCTAACATATTTTTTTAGGTTAAATATCTGAATTGGTCTCTCAACTTTTATTTTTGAACTAATTCATCCTTAAACTTCAGAAAATACCAAAAATGTCTTTCAACTTCAATTTTCAATTTCGTCTTTCCGTCAGTTAAATGTTGATGTAGCTAATTTTTTCACTAAGTGATTGACTATTTTACATTTTCAATAT